CACGTACGCCAATCACATGCTCATACACCGAGTCTCACACACTCGTATGCCATTCAATGCATGTTTATGCATGCAAATGTCATTGACATGTCAGGCACATTTCTTTGGCCCACTAGCCCACACTGGCACACTTGCCCAATTAATTATTATTACGACTCGAGTCATCAATTTTTCACGGCCCGGTGCGTCTAGCTTGCTTCAAAGTGCATGAGGCGCAGCATCCGATCTCGGCCCAGTGTCTCTAGCCTCGCTTCAAAGTGCATGAGGCGCAACACTGTTCTCCTTGCGAACCGAGCCCGCTTCAAAGTGCATGAGGATGGTCGCCTTCCGGACGTACCGGGCATCGTCCCGCTTCAAAGTGCATGAGGACGGTATCGACCCGAAGGTCCTTAGGTGATCACACAGCTCATTATTATCTGAACCCAGCGTATAACGCTTCAGGGTATTTTAGGTGATCACATGCTCATGGCAGACACGCATTCTCGCACAATTTCATCACATGCCTCACTCTTGGCATACACAATGCGTGTCCATGTTATGTAATGCAATGCACCACGAGCACCAATGTAATTTAGACACCCAATGTCACAACACGTGCTTAATTGGCCCAATTAATACCGTGTGGCCCAACGTGCGATTCACAACTCAATAATTAACTACAAGCCAAACAGTGGCCAATCGCACTCCACAAATGCAGCCACACAACATGCGACATGGCAGTACGCAATCAATCACAACTAAGCACGAATCACATACCATCAGTCAATCCGGGTATACCCGGCAATTTCACCAACAAGCTCCTAAATTGATCATTAAACCCCATTTTCCTCCCCAATAGTTCTCACTAAACCACTAAATTTTCCCGATAATAAATTCTACTAATCGGTCCTCAACCCAGTCTCAAATACACACTACTATTATCTAAGCCAGTCAAAAATGCACCGATAATACCTAAACCAGTCCAGGAAAAACGCACTATCAGTCCTAATCCGGGTTTAGGAATTTTACTCACCAAAACAAGGGTCACGACGACGGGGAATGGCGGCCGATCACTGATGAACAGTGAAACCGGCGGCGGAATTCCCGACGACGGCGGCGCGGTGTACGGACGGGGGGGTGAACAGTGATTCCGTACGGACGCGTGAACAGTACACACGTACGGACACACTGTACGGACGACTGGGAAACGGTGGCCGGCGACGGCCGTACGGTCTGGATGAACAGTACCGTACGGGGGGATGTGAACAGTAAACTGTACGGACTGGCTGAACGGCGACGTATGGACATGCTGAACAGCCGGGTGTCGACGGAACGGCGATCGGAGCTCCGGCGAAGCTCCGGCGGTACTGTTCACAGAATAGAAAATGAGAAAAAGAGAGAAAAAGAGAGAGAAAAAGGAGAGAGAAATGGACGGAACCGAGGCTGAGCTGAAGCGGGGGACCAAGGGGGTCGACGGCGAGGCACGGCGGTCGGCGGCGTGCTCCGGCGAGAGAGAAAATGAGAGTGAAAATTTGAGAGAAAATGAGAGAAAGTGAGGGGAAAATGGAGAGAAAATTTTTCTGAAGGCTGGTCTGGTCGTGGGAGTGAGAGAGGAGAGAGAGAAAATGCTTATCTTAGTCAAAAACTAGGGCCTAGGGTGCCATGTGTCAAAAATCAAGCCAATGGACAATTTTGCCCTTGATCCAAAGGCTAGGATTTGCCCTAATCTAATAATTTAGGGGTGAAATGGTCTTTTGCCCCTAACCATGGTTGACCAGACCTGGTTTAACCTTAACTCACCTTGGTTAATCCCAAAATTAAATCCAATTTTCGGAATTAATCAAAAATGGCCTAGGGGCATTTTCGTAATTTTCCGATCCCGAACCGAAATTCCAATTTTCGCACATACGCGTTCCATATATGCGTGGCCAACATAATATGACGTCGGAATCGCGAAATTCATCGCGTAAGCCCTCGAAAATCCACGTCAAAGTTTCGGGAATAAAATAATATTATTTTTCCAATTTTTGTCGAAATTCCAGTTTTTGTCCAAAATGACTCCTGGTAAGCGTGGCCACCCAAAAATGGCATCGGCCACGAAAAATAACCTCATTTGGCCTCGAAAAGCGACGCTAGCATCCCGGGGGCAAAATCGTAATTTTTCACCCCCGGACCGAAATTCCAATTTTTACTCGTACTAACTCCACATGTGAGTGGCCAGCGTAATATGACGTCAGATTCCCAAAAATAGTCTCTTAAGCCTTTGAAAATCGATACCGAAATTCGGGCCCAATTCCGTGAACAAAACCCGCTAAACTTTCAATTTCAGAGTCTCTCACTAACGGGTGGCTGTTTAGAGGTTACGCGTATCGACCTAAGGCTATTCGTATCGTGATGGTCTCGATCATTGAGAGAATGAGAAATTATCATTAGTTCCAGAGGTCACAATCATTAGGTTCAAGTTCCGGACTGGTTGACCACGCGCACTTTTGGTCTTGCAGAATCACCTGCGTCCCAATCGTACATCGTTGGCCTTGGCCAAACCAAATCCGTTACCTTTCCTAAGATCGGCTCACGTTGGCCCAAAATATTTCCTCAGCGTCTCTCGTGATCGGTATCCCTTTCGCGATAGGGTCCCCGGTCCACGTACCATCTTCTAGTTAGCCATACCCTATTGGTTAGTATCCCGAGAGTGATCAGCTCTGGGTGAGACTTACTAAAATGAAATGCGAAATAATATCAGTTTCATTGATCCCGGAAATTACATCGAAATTCGGGCCGTTACATGTAAGTTAGATCAATTCGACATCACAAGAAAAGAAACCCATAATGCGAGTTATTTCAATTAAAGAAAAGGAATGGAAGGACCGAGAGAAAGGTTGTGTGACCCACAATGCCCCGCCGATACGGGACAATTTTCCCCTTGAAGTGTAGGGCAGGGCAACTCATGAGACGGGGACAGGAGTCCTCCAGCGGCTGCAACAGGCAAAATGCTTTCAACCACCATTGGCAATAAATGTTCGCTGTTGACGAGTCACCTTTCCAGGAGAAGTTACTTGAGGAAGAAGGAGATGGAAAAAAAAAAGAAAAAAGAAATGGACAAAAAAGGAATAGACAAAAACATGTCAACCACAATTTCCCCCTTGAAGTGTAGGGCGGACCAATTCATGGGATGGGGACAAGAGTTCTCCAGCGTCTGCCATAGGCAACACCTTTTAACCACCACTGGCCACAGATGTTGGCTGGCGACTAGTCACCCTTCTTGGAGAAGTTACTTGAGGAAGGAGGAGAAGGAAAAATAAAGAAATGAAAAAAATTAAAAGAAAAAGAAAAGACAAAAAACATGTCGACCATTAAAATCAAAGGTAATAATATGTTTTTTTTTCCCTAAAATGGAATAAATTTTAAAGGAATAAGTTCACTAGAAGTTCTAAAATTTATTACGAAAGTGCAATTGAGTCCTAAAACTTTCAAAAAGTAAAATCAAGTCCTAAAACTTGTCAAATTAGTCCAATCAAGTCCTTCATCGATTGCACTTTTTGAAAGTTTTAGGACTCAATTACACATTCGTGACAAGTTTTAAAACTTCCGGTGTACTTATCACAATTTTAAATGCAATTTTACCTTTCAAATTAAAAGAATATCTGACACTATATCTCCGTGCATTTACCAACTAATTAGAGACAATGGGACATAATAATTAAAATAGCATTATTTAAAGGATATTATGCACCAATCTTTGACAAATTGAAAATAAATACCGATTCATCACATCCCACATATAACATTCGGCATAAAAATTAAATGAATAGCATGTTTCGCTATTAAGCAGTTGTTTAGTATAACTTTCCCACGATACCTTAGCTATGAGTAAGGGAGTTGTAACTTTATGAAGAGCAAATTTTTTATAATTGCGGTTCCTACAAAACTACATAAATTTATAACAGCTTTTGGAAGGAAACTTCGTCCAATTTTAAGATGTTGCAACTTTAAAATACATATTACCAAGCACGTAAATTACAATACACTTCACAATACAGTTAAACACAATATAGCTACAGTTCAACCACAGCTATATCAAGCGGGCTCTAGTAGCCCATTACCCAATCATGCCATGAAATTGAGAAAAAGAAAATGATTTCAACCATCGATTTTGAGATGGATCACACAATTATTGATCCATTGGTATACATTTACACTTGCAATTTGACTTCCAATCCAAGGCCTGACATTGAACTATAATTCATCAAACTAGAGATCAAAATAAAACTAGGCCGAGTCTCAAGATAATCGCCCCCTATATGTGGGCATATCCTCAGCACTTCATCCACATGGCTCGACCCTTGAACCACTACTTCAAAATACTATGACGCAGCGCACCTCCAATGTGGGCTTCCTATTTCACCACACACTTACCAGGGGGTGTCCAAAAAAAAGAAAAAAAAAGAAGACACGCACACAAACATAGACATTGGTAGAACTTATGATGGTCAGCTTTTGTGTTAATGCTCCTCTTTCTTTTGCGAACATCAAAATCATTCTCTCCACAAATTGACAAACTTTCACTTATATTTAGTAGAAAAAAACTCTTTTCAATTACGGCGAATCAATACAAATAATCAATATTAAATTTGATGACATGAATGGTCGACCCTAATTAAAGCGTAAAAAAGTCTTATTCTTTTTGTCTAGGATGCATTGCAGAATAAAGACGGCAAAATCACTTTAATCAATATGAGCTTTTTTTTCTCCTAGCAAAAAAAAACTTGGGTTCAAATTCACCTTGGGAAAGTGGAAAACAATATGTACGGAGTGTCCAATGGTTCAGATTGTAGGAGGACCACTCATCGAACTGAATTGTCCAATGATTAGTGGTTTGGTGGTCTTTTCAGCAAATAGGAGGTTATCATGGAGGGTCAATCAATGGGCGCTTCGGCTCGTAGGAGGACCACTCAGCGTACTGAATTATCGCTCGCAACTGACTGTACAGGAGGCATGACTTCCTGGGAAAAGAGGTACGAATGCTTAGTAGAAAACAGTCTTCCGGGTCTACACAGCTTCTATAAAAGCTCTTCTGAGAGGCTGTTCAATATATAACTCAAGTTGCTCAACCAATATATATCACTTCACTCGCTCCTTCTTGCCCTCCTTAGCGAATTAGTACCCAATTCATGCTCATAAAATGAGACATTCGCGTCTCAATTGTGCACAGCTTCGTCGTTCTTGGCTTCTTTTTGCTGCTGTTTTCGTGTTATGTTTCGGTGTAGTCGTTTATGCTACTAACGATTCAGACAGGCTTGCATTACTTGCATTCAAGGCTGAAATAACTAGTGACCCTTTTGGGCGGCTTAACTCGTGGAATGACAACACCGACTTTTGCCGATGGAACGGGGTTACGTGCGGTCATCGACACCATAGAGTCACGGAACTGGACCTCCATTCCCAAGGACTCTCAGGACCCATCTCACCCCACATTGGGAACCTCAGCTTCTTAAGAAAATTGAGTCTCCAAAACAATAGCCTCGGCCTTGAAATCCCTCAACAAATTGGTCGGCTGCATCAGCTCCAAATGTTGTATTTATCCAACAATTCACTGACGGGAGAGATTCCCAGGAATATATCCGCTTGCTCGAACCTTGTATTTCTCCTCCTCGAATACAACCAGTTGGTCGGTGGAATTCCAGTGGAGCTAGGCTACTTGTCAAATCTTCAACAGGTTGACTTTACTGCGAACCAATTAATTGGCAGCATCCCTTCATCCATAGGGAACTTATCATCTCTGGAGGCGATTTCTTGTTATCAAAATGGTTTGAGTGGGATTATTCCCCAATCTCTAGGTCGACTAACCAAACTAAAGGTGCTCACCTTGGGAAGCAACAGGATTTCAGGTACCATTCCGCCTGCAGTCTTCAACTTATCTTCATTGATTGTATTCGACGTAAAAGCGAACCAGTTCTGCTGCAATCTTCCCGAAGAAATTGGATTCACTCTCCCGAACCTTCAAGATTTGAGCATTGGTCATAACAAGTTTGCTGGATCAATTCCTACGTCGATATCCAATGCCACAAATCTAAGACAACTCGACCTTGGAGACAATGAGCTATCGGGGAAAGTCCCTTCGTTGGCGAATGTCCGTAACCTTTGGACCGTTACCTTATTCACTAATCATCTCGGAAGTGGAGGTTCCGATCCAAATGACATGAGCTTCCTTTGCTCGCTAACAAATGCCGCTAAGTTGATGGTATTGATAATGTTTGAAAATAGATTTGGTGGGACACTTCCTACATGCATCGGTAATTTCTCTACTACTTTAATGTTCCTGCGACTAGGCCAGAATCTGATATCAGGTGAGATCCCAAGAGAGATTGGAAATCTTGTGAACCTGCAGGGATTCCGGATGGACGACAACCTTCTTTCGGGTCCAATTCCGTCAGATTTAGGAATCCTTTCTCATCTTCAAAAACTGATCTTGTCAGGCAACAATCTATCTGGCATAATCCCATCCTCTTTGCAAAATCTGCAAATGTTGTTCTCTTTAAGTCTTGCAAGAAATAACCTTGAAGGGTTGATTCCTTCACACTTAGATAAGTGTCAGAGTTTGACAAACCTAGATCTTTCTTCTAACAAACTCAGCGGTCCAGTTATATTCCCCGTAGTTGGAAACCTCATCTATTTTAATTTGTCTCGGAACCAGCTGAGTGGAGTCCTTCCGATGGAAATTGGAAACTTGAAACATTTGGAACAATTGGATGTCTCGAGAAATATTCTGGATGGTGAACTCCCTAGCAGTCTAGGCAATTGTGATGGACTGACAATACTAAGAATGCAAGATAACCTCTTCCATGGGTCCATTCCTCAACCAATTAGCTCCTTAAGAAGCATTGAGGAATTAGATCTTTCCAACAACAATTTCGGTGGTGAAATTCCACGGTTCTTAGAGGCATTTCAGTATTTGGAAAAGTTGAATTTGTCTTACAATCATTTTGAAGGCATGCTACCAACTAAAGGAGTTTTTAGGAATGTGAGTGCGACTTTTGTTGCTGGAAATGAAAAGCTCTGTGGAGGAATGCCTGCATTTGAGCTCCCTAAGTGCGTCTCTCGAAACTCCAAAAGTAGAGGACGGGTCCATCAGTTGAAACTTACCATCGGCATTGTTTTTGGTCTTCTCGGAATACCTCTCCTTGTCACTTTCCTATATCTATGTTGGTTGAACCAGAAAAGAAATGAGCCAATTTTAAGCTCCTTAGCTGATTCATTGTTGAATCTATCTTATGGAACTCTTCTAAAAGCAACCGGCGGTTTTTCTTCGACTAATCTGATTGGGGTTGGAAGTTTTGGATCTGTCTACAAGGGGTTCCTCCAGGAGAATGAAAATGTCATTGCGGTCAAGGTGCTTAATTTAACGCGGTATGGCGCTCTCAAGAGCTTCAGAGCAGAGTGCGAGGTTTTAAAGTGCATAAAACACCGAAATCTTGTGAAAGTATTGACGGCATGCTCAGGCATTGATTATAAGGGTGATGAGTTTAAGGCTTTAGTTTATGAGTTCATGGTCAATGGCAGCCTAGAAGAGTGGTTGCACCCAAATCCAGCTCGAAATGATGCAAATGGGCACTCAAAGAAATTGGGTCTTGTCCAAAGGATAAACATTTCTATTGATGTTGCTTCTGCATTAGATTATCTCCATAATCAATGCCAAAGCCAAATAATTCATTGTGATCTAAAGCCAAGTAATGTCCTTCTTGATGCTGACATGGTTGGACATGTTGGTGACTTTGGGTTGGCGAAGATTGTCCTCGAATCCACGTCTGACACTATAGCAAACACAAGTTCTATCATTTTAAGAGGAACAGTTGGTTATGCCGCTTTGGGTAAACTCTCTCTCTCTCTCTCTCTCTCTCTCTCTCTCTCTCTCTCTCTCTCTCTCTCTCTCTCTCTCTCTCTCTCTCTTGAGCTTTTACACCCTCTGAAATCAACTTGTCCTTCTAGAGACTACTATTTTTTGTTTTGCTAGTTCTCTCTCTCTCTCTCTCGAGCTTTTACACCCTCTGAAATCAACTTGTCCTTCTAGAGACTACTATTTTTTGTTTTGCTAGTTCTTCAAGACACTGTTTTGTGAAACCAAAGTTCTTGGTTTTGACATTTCTTACGCCACGGCATGTGTAAACTGCAGAATATGCTAACGGATGCCAGGTCTCCAGAGAAGGTGATATCTACAGTTACGGCATCCTCTTATTGGAGATATTCACGGGATTAAGCCCCACTAGCGACATATTTAGAGAGAATTTGAATCTTCATAATTATGTGGCTGAAGCTCTACCCCAACATACTATGGAGATTACAGATCCGGTTCTGCTTCACGAACAAGAGAACTGTAACAATTCCCAAGATTCGCTTCATGAAAAAAATCGCATGTTTCAGGAATCTTTGGAAACGATATATCGAATTGGACTCGCTTGCTCAGTTGAGGAGCCTAGAAGACGCATGAGCATCGACAAAGTTGCAACCCAGCTGCACTTGATCAGGGAGAAACTTTTTGAAGCTTCTTCACTTGGAAGGATGAGACACGGATAGATGACATCGAAAGTAGCAAGTTCTTTATTTCATTCAATGAATCTTTCTAGTGCTATTTGAATATGAAAAAGGAAAGGATGAATGTCTGACTTTCCTAACTTCCTTGTGAATGTAAGAAAGGATCGTCCTAATATTCCTACTTTAAAAGATTTGCCAAAAATCCACACCTTCTCTAACATTTTCTGTCGGTTTTGACCAAAACAAAACATTTTCTATCGGAATAACATTTTCTCATTGACACCAATTTTTTCTTGTCACCGCGTTTTTACGTCTAACTCGTGAGAATTCTAATAAACCCACACATTCTTAGCCTTGATATCACATAGGTAAGATTTTTAGACAGATCAAAAGAATAAACTACGATACTAAAGAACAGATATTCCTACATACCTTGATATTGATATTAATGCAATTTACATATTTATAACCAGCCTACGGAAAAAAAAAAAAGAACCGCGGACTTGGAAATTTTTCAACATTGGAAGCACACGTTCACCGTTCGATCATTTTACATTTAAACCTGTTATTTGACTTCCAAAGCTAGGGTCTGATAAGAATGAGAACAACGACGAAACTCACAAGGTCGAGTCTTAGGGCAACTGCATCCCAAATGTGAGCACATCCTAAGCCCTTCCTCTGACGTGCGTCGGCCAGTTTGAACAACTCCTTCGAAAGCCTATTGACCGGGGTGCACCTCGGGTATAGGCACATTACACCCAAAATCGCTAAGAAGAGCATAGGCTAGAGACAATATAGGTAAATCTACATGCGACTGCCAATTTCCAATATTACCATAATTGTAAGAAAAAATCAATTCTAGGTCTCGAAGGTTGGCTAGGATCAATAATTGCCGTCCCCTATCTATGTCTTGATGCACGCCGTAGCCATCTTGAAGGCAATGTCCCAATTCACGAGGCGCATCGATATAGCCAAGGGTGGCAACCTGAGCGCATAGGGCCACTCTGGCCGCAAGATACTTGCGAGACTTTGGTTGGCCGTTGCCATTGAATTGGACAGGGGCCAGAGAGAACAGCGAGGGAGCGTGAGATTTTATAGCGGTTTTTGCCATCAAAGACAGCCCGCACGCTCGTTTTCTCAAGCAACAGAATCGGATCCGCAACAAAGGTTTAGGAAAGTAACCAGGGCATGGATTTTTTCTCCAAACATCATATCAATACTTATCATATCATGATGTTAACATACACTAGCCATGGAATTATTGTCGACACCTAAACCAAATATCCGCGGCCCATCTCGATTATCTCTTCCAACTCATTGCACAAGTTGAGAGCCTTTGGAATTATTATTATTTGGATTGAATTCGAGCTTAAGCAATCGATTCTCTGTAGTGGGGGCTGTGGGGACGCAGAATCAAATGAAATTTATCATTTCCAGGGTATTTGAATTGGCCTGCTGTCGTGCAGTGTGGACGTGGATAAGGTCTGACTGGGTGGAGTTATGGCAAGCCAAATCCTCTTCTTGATTATTACCACCAAAAAGAGAGAATAATTCATCGATTCACGGGTTGGTTAGAGTCCTCCAGCTCGTGACATTTGCCGTAAGCACTTGCCCACTGGTTCTTTATTTCTTCTTCTCTTTCCAAGCGTTGCCAATCGATGAGTTTATGCTGGGGAAGAGGATGGCAAAAGAAAGTCAAAGTCGAACTTCCGTTTTGGTCTTGTTGAAGAGAGACACGCCCCGTTGTATTTGTGAGACGTGGGTTTGGGCTTTGGGCCAATCCGTTTTGCCGGACCAATCGTGAATCCTAAACAATTATTGCGTACCACTTCTTATCTCTTTAGTTTTCGTCTCTCACATTATCAGATATTTGATGTCAACATCAAGGTTATAACCTCATTTTGGAAATCCTAGAAAGAGTTGATAATCCGAAGGACATCATCCAGCATGCATACCAACTTTAATTTTTATTCTATAGTTTGCAGTGCATTTGCCCGGGTAGATAAAAATGTCATGATATGAGATATATTATGCGGCGTCTTTCATTCTCTAAATTAAGCTATAAGTACGATTGATAATCAAAGAACCATTTCGATAGATCATTCGGGGTCTTTGTTCTTTTCTAATCTTTTCCTAATGACTTTGGAAAGTAGACACAAGGCATTTTTATGACATCCTAAGTCTCATATTAAAATGAAAAAGAAACTTTTATGTCATAGATAAATAATTACCCATCTCTAATTGTTGTATTCCTTTTGAGTTTTTAGGGCTTGAAGCAATCGAACGAGCTGGGAGTATTAGAAACAAAGATATCGAAACACATGCAAAACAAGATAATAACCTTTTATTTATAACTTTCCTTTGGTTTTGTTTCTTTTTATTTTATCCTGATGCTATACTTGATCTCACGCACCTTCTTTTTTTTTTTAGTTTGACAAATTATTACGGTCGAAAGCTAAAATTATGAGCCAAATTGACCTATAATTACGGATTCAATTTGTACAAATTGGGACTAGTGCCCCTCTGAGCTCTACAAGGCTTTGCCTCTGCCCATCTGCTCTCTGTATGGCTCCATCGCTATCAGAGTTTCATCATGCTTTGTTGATTGTATCTGCATTGTAGGTCTACCAGAAAAGCAATGATAAATATCATATACTAGAGTCTTTTATTACAACTTGTAAAAGCTTTTATTATGTTAAGGTCTATCCGCATTGCTTAAAAACTAAGTTGCAGTGGATTTCACACGAACGTAGCGCCCATCCAATTAACAATTCTACTTTAGGTGGTGAATTTCCAAAGATCACAGAAGAACAAAAACTTTTCTTAGTCGTGACCACAAGCAATGGTTTGCACCAGAGGTCAGTTACTAAAGCTGGAAGTTTTCGGATATGATTGGTCTTGTAGCCAACCGCTAATGTAATTGCCGCTTTGTTTCGATGTCCATGAGCTAGTCCATTATGCAGAGGCGACCGCAACTTCACTGGTTGACATCACAATCAACAGAATTCAAATTAGTTCTTCTACTTGCGAGATCAACTAGTACAGTGGGAAAGGCAAGATTTTGAATGAAATCCATGGCGTTCAGGACTAATTAGCCAAATCACTTAAGACATTTTCAGTTATTCTAGTCACACATGGTTTATAATGTCAATCATGTGGAAAGGACAGGCAAAGGAGGAGAAATAGTTTATGCAGCCTTCTTCTCGAGGGCTTATAGTGACCTTGTTATATTTGCAAGGTATTCCGGCTCAGTGTGTCACTTGAACGATGATAGCAACCGGTCCCAAAGTACTTTGGCCTCCACTACGGTAATGGCAACTGGGATAAATGTGAGGTTGTTCTATTAGTCGCTTTTGAGTTTTGCATATAGCTTGAAGCCCGTTGTATGTATGGATCTTTTTTATTCTTTGACATCGTGTTCGATTCTTTGTTGTATTGATGATCTTAGGCACGTGCATTTTTTCAGAGCCCATACTGACTAGGGTAGTTTCATATTGTTCTGCAAAATCTATTGGGAGATTAAAATGTCACAAGTTTAGCCCATCGTGTGAAATTGAGTGTTTTTTGGTACGGGGAGGAGACGGTGCATAGACAAGTTGCCAATTGCCATTTGATGGCTCTTTGGATAGAACTCATGCTTTGAACTTTCTGGGCGAAAAACTTAATAATGGCAGCTTCTTCAAAACTACATCAGTGTGTAGAAACTTTCAAGAGGCTACCTCATCCAATTTTGAAGTGTTGCAACTTTAAAAATATATATCACCAAGCACAGAAGTTACAATTCACTTCACAGGACAGCTAAGCGCAACACAATTATCGTTCACCCACAACGATACGAAACAGGCTCTAGTAGCCCATTATCCAATCATGCTATGTAACAAAGAAAAAGGGGATGATTTCAACCATCAATTTAAGATGGAATCGCTCGATTGTTGTTTCACTAGTATACATTTACACTTGTGATTTGACTTTCAATCCAAGGCCTGAAACAGAACAATAATTCATCACGCAAGAGATCAAAAGAAAACTAAGCCGAATCTCAAGATGATCACACCCCGGATGTGAGCATATCCTAAGCACTTTCTCCATCTGCCTCGATCCTCGAACCATTCCTTCAAAACCCTATGACCCAATGCACCTCGAACGTGGGCACAATGCACTCGAAATCACAATGAAGAGCATAGGCTCCAACCTATGAGATAACTGCAAATTAGTACAACTTATGATGATCGACTTTTGTCTTAATCCTCCTCCTCCTTTTCTAACTTAAAGAAAGCAATTAAACATGTTAAAATAATTTTGCAATCATCAAAATCATTCTCTCCACAAATTGTCGCACTCGTAGAGGTGGGGTGGCAATTCATTACGGTAGCGAATGATAACCATTCTGTTCCGGAATGAGTTCCTGAACCAGAAATAGATTTTTCTATTTCTAGTTCCTGAATGAGTTTCTGAGAAAAAAAACCCGTTTGATAATGACAAAAAATTTCTATTTCTAGAACAGAAACCCGTTTGATAACAGCACAAAATTTCTATTTCCTGAAATAAAAACCCGTTTGATAAACAACAGAAAATTCTATTTCCAGGAACAAAAATCCATTTTTTTAGAAATGGAATAAAAATAATAAAAAATCCGAAAAATTCATAAAAATATTTAAAAAAATTCAGAAAATCCCAAAAAATTGAAAAATTCCAGAAAAAATCATCAAAATGTCGAGAAAATAAAAAAAATTTAGATTTCGGGAAAATAGGAAATTTGTTGAATTTTTTCAAAAAAAATCAAGAAATCAAAAATTTCAAAACTTCACAGAATTGCTTAGAATACCTGTGGCCACCCACTTTTAGTGAAATTTAAATTTTTTTAGGTGCCCAAAAAAAATAAAAAAATCAAAAATTTCAAAACTTCACAGAATAGTTTAGAATACATGTGGCCACCCACTTTGAGTGAAATTTAAATTTTTTAAGGTGCCCAAAAAAAATTCAAAAACTCAAAAATTTCAAAACTTTACAGAATGGCTTAGAATACCTGTGGCCACCGACTTTGAGTGAAATTTAAATTTTTGGAGGTGAAAAAAAAAGCAAAAAAATCAAAAATTTCAAAACTTCACAGAATGACTTAGAATACATGTGGCCATCCACTTTGAGTGAAATTTAAATTTTTTTAGGTGAAAAAAAACATAAAAAATCAAAAATTTCAAAACTTCACAGAATGAC